TTTCCATTAATTATCTTAGCACAAACTTAATTCCACAATAAATATCTTTTGCATAAAATCAAAATAATTCTTTGATTGAAGTGACATATTTAGCCTTTACTACATTACTCTCTCCTAAGTTATTATTTATGAATGATAACGTCAATTTCTCTTTTTATGATGACCGTCATCATTATTAGCCTTATCTGAACTACTTGGTTTGGTTTCTAAATTTGTACTCATTGGTTATCATTATTAGCCTTATCTAAACTATTTGGTTTGGTTTCTAAATTTTTATTCATTGGTTATCCTTTTTGTGTGTTACATTAAGTGTTAAATCCATGTCAGGCAAATCTTTTACCGTGACTGTTGTACATATCTTTGTCTTTTACTCTTTAATGCTAATTTTTATTTGCATGACTTTTTAATGCATTTTCTGTCTTTTATTGTACATGCACGAACCTACCAAATATATTCTCTATTATCTTATCGTCATAGATGTTCCTCCAACCGTTGTACTCATTCCTCAATTTGACATTTCTTCACACATTTATCTCAACAATCTTATTTTTATCATGCTCAATTTGGTCATTAATTTTTTTTTTAAAATCATGCAACGGACAGTTCGCCTAATTATAGTTTAATAAAATATACTCTTAAATTTTATTTATATTTTCTTATCACATAATTCTTTTGGGGCAAATTTCCAATTTGACCAACCAATTTTAACTTTAGAAGTTAAATTCTCATTTATATTGCTATTAATGTATATTATATCCATAATATATTTGACATATCATGAATGGGTATTACTTTATCTTTTAATAATATTGCAGATAATTGTATATATCACACCCACTAAAATTATATGTTTTATATCTGTTTTTGATCTACTTTCTTTAAGCACCATCTTCTAAAAATATTATTCATGGTCGAACTTCTTATTTATTATTTATTATGTAAACAGTCTAACCGATTTGTACTATGTCATCCATGAAAATATTCACCAAGGCTTTTCAGAAATACCCTTTTAAGAATTTTTATATTTGATACAGAAATATGAAATTAATATTAATTTTTAATGTTATCCTTTTATGCTTGGGAATTCTTTTGTGACTCCACAACTATTTTTAACTCTAGTCAATGCCCTATCACACATCCTTTTAATAATTTTAACAATTATTTGACACATTTTTTTTCTTTTTATGGATCAATTCAATTCTCGTAGTACTTTTTGTGTTGTCTTATGAAGGACCATAAAAAATATGGTGTCATTTTCCTAATCCTAACTTTCCGATTAATCATCTTGGCACAAAAAATAAATACTTTTTAATGGCTATTCCAGAAAATCCAATTTGATTCATTGAGATTGATGTAATATTTTTATGTTCACATCATGTTATTCTCTTGTAACTTCATTATATGAATTATTAGTACGAGTCTCTTATGGTTATCATATTCCTGAATATCTCCTTTTGTTCTTAATATTCATACAAAAATGTTTCTTTTAAAACATTATAATAAAGCATTTGTCTAATAATTTTCTAAATTAACTTTTTCATTGCTTTGGAATGTCTCCTTTAAAAGGACTATTACCATATCATTTTCAACACACCTATTTTGATTAATATTTATTCTTTTCTACGATAATCAAGAGATTGAATGGCATTCCCTTATATCAGACGACCATTTCTGGTTAAACTTGGGTTTTGATAGGTATGTTCGGGTTGGCACAAATTGATCTAAAAGGTCTTCAAAATCTGAGGTCGGCTTAAGTTAGGCTAGATCATATGGATTTTTTTCTCTCTTTTATCTAGCCTACACTTTGTGATCTGGGCAGGTTGCATTTGGTCAATTTAAAGTTTAGAACGGGAATGTTTTGGACCAAAAGGTTTTAATGCATATATATAGTGTCATTTTTGGCTAATCTTAGTACATATAAGCAATTTTTTGTAAGTCCCGATAGAATTGTTTTCTACTAATCTGCAAATAAATTTTTCGCCTTAAATATTTTTTTTTAAGGCTTCATACTTATGGTTGATTTAATTTTCAGCTTACTTGAAACCTCTTTAGAAATTTTATAATATAGTTGATTTGAATGATATGACAATTTTCAAAAATAGCATTTCATAGATTCATTAAGAAGAAGTATTCATAATCTTTATTGGAAAGTAAAAAAGATGAATAATATCAAAATTCATTACTTGTGAGTCAAAAAAAAAATGATAGGAACATGATAAATGCGATGTAATATATACTATAATTTTATCATGCATTCATTATAGGAAAATAGGTTGGCATTGTTTATTAGATGGATGTTGGAATCTAGAATTAACGCGAAGAATGAAGAGGGGTTGGCAAACATAACATGATTAAAATTGTTCAACCTTATTGAAGTGAAGCTGATGAGTTCAAATAATTTAGCTACCAGAGGAAGAATCATTTTTCTAATCCAAGATACAAAGCAAGGGTTATGGTGGTGAGTATGATGGGATGGTACGGTAATTGTTGGTGAAAGAATACGTTTTTAGCATCTCCTTTGTTAGCTTTATCCCAAATGATTTGGGGTCAATTTTTTGAATCTTGGGTTTTCATTAATTCATTATGAGGTGTTAAACATATTATTTGCAAATGCTTTTGAACAACTTTTGTTCTTATTAGTCTAGGCCCGCATCATTTTCTTTATTTTATATCAATAAATTTATTTGCCTGTCAGCTGATTGTATTTTCTCCGTTTTTTTAATTCCATTTTCAATGTCTTAAATAAATATTTCTCAAACAATTCCTCTAATACAATCCTTATTTAATTCCTATTTAGTTTGGCCGCATCCATTTTAACATTCTCATTTCTGGCTACACACGATTTTAATGTCAATGACTTCTTTTATGTCTTACACTCAGATTCATACAACATTGTCATTTCAATTTTATGAAAATTTCCTTTAAACATCATGATATTCCTCTATCACATCTTACTCTTTTGGCATTTCTCTATTTGAACTATTCATTTTAATTCTATAAGTTATATTCTTATCTATATCCCTGTTCTTTAATATAATCGATCTTTACATATTTAAATCTACCACACTTATGTTTAATTTTATTATAAAATAATGTTGATTGATATTTATTAACAACACACTAGAACTGCATATCATATACTTTGTCTTTATTTCACTAATTCTAAGCTTTCATAAATTTTTTTTATTATTCTAATTTTTGGTTTACTTCAATGAATTCCTTGTCAATTAAACTGTATCATATGTAAAAAGCAAGTATCAAAACTTCTCTCTTTTTTTCTCTTTTATCAGTATAGAAATATATTGGCTCAATATCGATTCTTGATGCAATCATATTATAATTGAAAACTTCTTAGTCACTTTAGAACTACTAACACTAGTTAGTCTTCCATCAAATGAAGATTCATTTTGCCTAAATGTTCATCAATTCAAATATAGTGATATTCTATCTTATGCTATGTCAAGATCAATGAGAACTATAAGATAATTTTTTTTTTCTCTACTGTACTTTTTAATTTGTTGCACAAATTCCTTCCATAGTAGATTTTAGCATGAAATCAAATTGATTCTCCGAAACTAAGATAATTCTTATAACCCCATGTGCAATTACTCTCTCTCATAATTTCATTACATAATTCATAAGTTTGGTTTGTTTATAGCTTGCAAAGATATAAATTTCTCATTCAAAAGTTTGATTCTTTTATTGTGAGTGTAATTGTAAACCTCTATTTTGTTCTTAAATATTTGTGCTAAAAAATTTTGTCTCTAATTGTTTGAATTCTTGTTTGGTGCCAAAGTTCCTTTGCACAATTTGATAGTGGAACCAGGAGCTCAGCACCTATAAATCTTCAATATGTGTTATATCTTTCACATAAAGCTTCATTTTTATGCATCAGCCAACTCAATTTTTTTTATAATTAGTTCTCTCATTGTATTATTTCTAGATCTTTCCGAAATAATTTTTGTAACTCTTATTTAAAAAAATTCTCAAAACAATTCTCTCTTTTTTGTTGTATTCATTTTTAACTAAGGCCGTATTATTTTTTGCATTTCTTATTTCTAATTTTTAATCAAACTCTCTAGAGCTTTTATCTTCTAGCTTTTCTATATTTTCTTCTCATTTCTCAGTATTATATTACATAAATTATTAAAAGCTGAAGCTTTTGCTATGTTCATTATATATTTTTTTGTCATTTACATACATCAACCTAATTCCAATCTGTTTGCATATCTAACAACTAAACTTTACTTTTTACATTTATACTGCCCAAAATTTTCATATCACATCAAAAATACTACTATTTTAACTTTTAAAAAGTGAAATACCTGTTCATGCATAGGCAGGATAGCATATATATATATATTAATTGAAGTTTAGGTGTTAGATATGTAAATACATATCAATTGAGTGGTATTTATGCTAATCTTTTTATATTTTCTTAAAGATTTCTAGATTTTTTTGTAATCATTATATGCTTTAGTAGTATATGCTTTATATGCATTTGATGTTTCCTAATAATTGCTGATCAGTAAATTCGACCTGGGAGCAAAACGTGCATAGGGTAAATTTTACTCTTAATCCTCTGAATCCGTTCAAATTATCTTTTTCTTCTTCTTTTTTTCTGTTTCCTTCACTTTCCTACTTTGCCTTTGAAAATTGCAAATTTTAAATGAGCCAGCGGAATAATTAGTTATATACATTGGTAGAATAAGGGGTTGGCCGGGGGAGGCGCTTGCCACTTCTAGTTTTTTATTAAATTATTTAATATCATTTAAATACTTAATAATGATTTAATATTAATTATATTTTTAATTTTTTAATGAGTTAAACTTAAATACTCGACATCCCTTAATTTTTAATATCCCCATTTCTCTCCTTAAATTTTGATTCTGCTTCTGGCTATAAATAGAAGTTCTTCTAGCAAAATGTGTTGAGAATTTTAGAAATAAGTTTGCCATCCACTTCTTAGATTAAAATTTTCTCATTCTTGCACTTCGTAGGTTCTCGATCGCGGGGAGAAGATTGAACTTCTGGTTGATAAGACTGAAAGCTTACAGTTTCAGGTACTGTTTATGGTGCATATCTGAATTATCTTCGTACTAACTTTAAACAGCCAAAGATTTAGTCTTCAGAAACACAAAAACATGAGCAAAGGTTTTTTTTTTTTTTTTCGTCTTCCAATCACTTTTTATCTCTCATTAACCATCCTCGTCGCAGGCCGATAGCTTCCAGAGGCAGGGAAGGCAGCTTCGGCGAAAAATGTGGCTTCAGAACCTTAGACTCAAGCTGATTGTAGCAGGTGTTCTCATTTTTGTCTTACTTCTTGTTTGGTTGATTGCCTGCGGAGGGTTCAAATGCACTAATTAATTGAGAGAACAGCTTATGGCTCTAGCAGTTTCCTTTTTACGTCATCCTTCAATTCTGTAAAAAATTGAAATTGTCTTCTTGGGGGCATTCAACTGAAAACAAAAATGCTTACAATATTAAGTATATTATGTACAGCTGCTTATTTGAACTGAAATGGATTTTCAGATTTATTTGCTAATTTCTGTTTTAATTATTCCCATTCTTTTGCTAAATCATACGTACATACCACCCAATTGCTAGGTATTTATCTATATAACACCCGAACCTTCCTATTTACATTTATACTGCATCTTTTCATGCAAAGGTAAGGTGGCATGAATGTAAAAATTGAAGTTTAGGTGTTAGATATGTTAATATGTAGCAATTGAGTGGAATGAATCTTACCAAAATCCATCGAATGATGCTTTGAATATTTGTGTTGATGATTATGTTTTCAATATTTATAATCTTTCAAATGTCATACGGGTAAAATGTAAACTTAGTTAAACATCATATCAGTAATATTAATTTGGGAAGTTTACATACATAACACCCAATCCTTATTCATTTACTCATCCCACACTCAAAACTTTGATTTTTACATGATAAGCATCTTTTCCTTTGTATGAAAATGTGAAAATGGTGTATAGGTTAGGGTGCTTACAATGTAAAAATTAAAGTTTGGTTGTGAGATAAGTAAATGCATAAGAAATGGGTGCTATGTATGTAAAGTTTTTCATTAAAATTCAAGTGTTAGATGTTTAAGAACTAATAATTTGTTTGACGCGTGCTTTGTGAAGTGCAATTTATGGGTAAAACTGGTCAGTTTGTTGGCTTTTATTTTCTCATAAATTTGATAAATAACTAAATTATTATTAAAAGTTTATACATTTGATTTGATATTTTTTCCTTTTGTTTGTAGATGAGAATTAATAGTGATTGATATTACATGAGATTCATTTCTCTTATTTTGAGACGAATGTCTATTTTTTTATGCATCTATTATTTTATGTAATCTCTGGCTTTTTCAAGAAAAATAAATAAATAAAAGTATTTAACATGTTAAGAACAAATTTAAAAAAATAGCTTTCTTATATTAGTTTTATAATCACATATATTAGTAGATAATAATAGTCTACTCTTTCTAAATTTATTCGATCGTGTAATTTTAAATTCAACTCAATTTTATTTTATAAAGAGTAACAAACAAGCTTTAAGAGAGCTCAAGGGTTACTACGGGTTTGTTTGGGGCAGCTGCAATCTATTACTAAGCTGTTGATAAGCAGCTGATCCAGAAACCTGCTAATAAGCAGTTGATGATGATAAGTTGACTGATTTTTTGGTTTATGTTGTTGTAAAATAGCTGTTTTACTGCAGTTTCTAGACAAATAATCATTCTGCCCGTATGCAGTAATGTTCTTTGCAACAGAACTATCATCGCAATATATTTGATACTTGAGAATAAAAAGTCCACTTCAGAACAGTACATAGAAGAAGATATACACTTCACTTAACAGTAAGTATCATGATTATTAAAATAAAGAAAATGACTATTAAAATAATATTTAATAATAAGATAATATTAAATTTAAAATGGAGACTGCGTATGTTAGTAGTTAGGTCGTCCTTCGGGGATACTCTACTATCTTGGTCACTATCGGTGACTGATTATTCGAGTCTATCTGACCACCGGAAGAAGTCACGGTTCTCGGTGATTCTCCGCGAACATCTGTAGAACTGTTTTCCGTAGCTATTATGACACGATAATTAGCCACGAGAACCACACAAACACAGCACAACCACCTGCACCCCAACATAAATTAGAGCCACCACACAACCCAACTACCCCCACCCCAATCCACATCTTACTACCACCACCCCAAACCACCACCACCAAGCAATCACAACACACATCACAAGCCAAAGCCACCACACAACCCAACTATCCCCACCCCAATCCACAACTTACTACTACCACCCCAACCCACCACCACCACACAACCACAACACACATCACAAGCCAAAGCCACGACACAACCCAAGTACCCCCACCCCAATCCACAACCTACTACCACCACCCAAACCCATCAACACCACACAACCAGCACATAACACAAGTTAGAGCCACCACACAACCCAAATTCACCCACCCCAATCCACAACCTACTACCACCACTTTAACCCACCTTCACCACACAACCACACAACACACATCACAAGCCAGAGTTCATTCATTGTCCATGTATGTTTTTCAATTACATATTCCAACTAGCATGAATGGAAAATAAATGGACTCATCAAATTACAAAGTGTGATATTCACACTTACAACACCTTGGTATCATAAATATATGCATGAAATGTGTATATCATTTTTAAGAGGGCAATGATGGTTGTATGTTTGATATGATAACAAGGTTTTGAAAGGTGCACATGTTATGTGTTGCAGGGAATTGAGCCTTATAAAATTTTCCTCTGAAATGAAAGAATTAAATTGCATCAGTTCAAAATGAAACAAACTTTCATAGTTCTACTTCTTCTGTATAACTTATATGCACATTGAATGTACATAAAAAAGATATTGCCACATATTTAAAACATTGTCTCATGATGGGGTGTCATAATTTTTTTGCAAGCGTGGTTTCTTCAAACATTTGCAGGAAATAAAGATACTTTTTTCTCTAACATCAATTGAAAGAGGATGGTCATCTTAGCATGCTTTTCATTTATTCCAACTAGCATGAATGGACAATGAATGAACTCATGAAATTACAAAGTGTGATATTCACACTTACAACACTTTGGTATCACAAATATATGCATGAAAGGTGTTCATCACTTTTAAGAGGGCAATGATGGTGGTATGTTTGATATTATAACAATGTTTTGAAAGGTATGCATGTTATATGCTGCAGGGAATTGAGCCTTATAAAATTTACCCCTGAAATAAAAGAGTTAAATTGCCTCAGTTCGAAATGAAACCACCATTCACAGTTCTACTTCTTTTGTATAACTATTTATATGGTAGATTGATTAGTGAATGTACAATAGAAAACTTTTGCCACATATTTAAAACCTCGTCTCATGAAGAGGTGTAATTATTTTTAAATATTTTTTCTTCAAACATCTGCAAGTAATAAAGTACTATTTTCTCTAACCTCAATTGATAGAGAAAAACTATCTTGCATGTTTCTCATTTACATATTCCAACTAGCATGAATTGACAACGAATTCCAACTAGCATGAATTACACTTACAACACCTTAGTATGACAAAACTATGCATGAAACCATTACGACCAACTTGGCAATCCACCAAGCAAATCCACACAGCTGAAACCCATCAAGCAAATCCACTAAAAAAACAGAAGCAAACAACCAATGCTGCAAACAGAGCAATCCACCAAAAGAAGATAATGGATAGAGGATACCGGAAGAAGCAAACAGTACGAAAACCCTCGTCACAGGTGTCGGGGAACGAAAAGAAAGAAGAGGAGAACTAGCGACCAACTGCGGGACGACAATGAGCGGGGCACAGGAGAATAACCGATCAAATGCGGGATGAGGACGAGCAGTGAATAGGAGAAAACACGAGGGGAGTGGGTTAGGGCAAAAGAGGTAAGGGGCGCCCGAGTAAAAATATCGCGAAAAAACATGGGCCAAGGGCCGAACAGGTGGCTCGCTTTTTCGTTAAAACGCAGAAGCCGCGATGCGGTGCCGCCGCCGCCCCAAACGACGTAGGCCTGCGTTTCCGCGCCATGCCGCACTTCTGCTGCCACGCCAAACGGATCCTACATTTCCCATTCTAAGGTTTACAGTCATATCCCTAACAATCACGATAGGCAATAGCTCAGCCATTCAAAACTTCAGGAGCATGCGAGAGCTTGAACTTCCCCCATAAACAAGGCTAACGTGATATTATTGATAATTACATAGACAGCACATTGCAATTCATCAAATTAACATTTATGTAATTTTTGGAACCATCAGATCGATGCCTTCACGCATTTTTATAAAAGTACATTTTTTCAAATAGAAAACACAAACCAACTTTGGAGCAAGTCAGCAAATCAAAAACAAAAACAAATGAGCGCTAATTCACTAATTTAAGGCAGCAGAAATGTCAACATGTTTTATCCCACAATAAGAAACATTTTTGAACCCATAATCCCAACCATGAACGATGCTTAAGAAAGTAAATCCAACCCCTGATAACATCAAAACATTATGTTAAAGCAAAAAAAAAATCAATCTTTTCTCTCTCTGATAACATAATGCAGAAACCTCAAACTGATATGAGAAGCCATTGTTGGCTCATGCAAGAAAGATTGAAACACTTATCTCCATACTTCAACGCGTTCTGCCTCTCGCTCAGCCCTGGAGTTTATATTGTTCATGATGCTCGTGCCCTTCATCTTCTCAACCACAACCGCCGCCTGATCCGCCGATTGCCCCTTTGCTCTTCTTCTTCCTCTCTTTGCATTCAAATTACTCAACTTCCCTGATCTTCTCCAATATTTAGGGTTTCCTGGAGTGGCTTCCTGCTCTCTGTTTGCTAAGCCATCCGAGCCCAGAGGAACACCATGGAGGTCTTGTGAAACCAAAGCGTTGCATGAGGTTTCAAAAGTTTGAACTGCTGAACCAAAGATATTTCTTGTGGCAGAAACAGTGTTTCAGCCACTTCTGATTCCATTCCCCTTCCATCATCCACGCTGAGCTTCACAGTTGGTTTGTCTTCATCATCGTCGGGCCTTGGAGAGGCTACCGTCGCGTAATCGGACATGGCTTCCTCTCGTTCCTTAACAGTTCTAAGAATGAGCATCTTGAGAAAATTCATAACATGCACAACATGCATTATGGCAGTCCGGGGATCGGCGATCTGCAAGGTTAAAGATGAATTATATGTGATGCATCGGATCGAACAAATGGGTAAGTCGACTACGAATGTCTGGAGATAGTGTTATTCAATGATGCATAAAAACGTCTAATTAAAGAGTAGTGTAGTATAAATGTTGTGTCGGACACAGACACAACTTTGGCACGTCGAACACAAGAAATAAGTATACTATTTAAAAAAAAAATATGTGTCAGACACGTATGTCCTGCATTAAGAAATAAAAAAATTTTAAAATGATTTTTAACGGCTAAATTTTAAGATTAAAATTTTAAAGAAATTACTCTATTTTTATTCAAAAGTTAAACTTATTTTTATGTAATATAACAGAATGGTTCTTTTTTTTATACCACATACTAAATAATATCTATGAATCTCTTAACTTTTAGAAGTCAATGTTTTCATGTAGGATAATGCTTCTTTTTTTTATATCATATACTAAATAATATCTATGAATCTCTTAACTTTTGAAAGTTAATGCTAATAAATTTCATATTATCACTTTTTTATTGTTCATTAAATTCTGTTTATTTAATTTTCCTCTATTTTTTTATAATTTATATTAGGAAGATTTAGATACATAACACTCTATTCTTATATATTTACATGTCTAAAACCTAAACTTCAATCTATATATATATATATATATATATGCCACCTTATGCATGAAAAATTGTGTATTTCACTTTTTCAAAGTTTAAATAGTGATATTTTTAATTTTATGTGAAAGATATGGGTACTAGAAATGTAAAATATAAAATTTAGATATGTAAATGCATAAGCATTGGGTGTTATGTATGTAAATCTCTATTTATATTATAATGCATGCACAACGCATAACCATGTCTGCTGCATATCTGTCTTATATTTTTAAATATAGAAGTACATGTATTTGTGTAGTCTTCGTATCCATATCCATGCATCATAGATATTACCTGAGTCATGTTGGGTGCAAACACCACAGCAACATTGCGTGCATTCATCTTGTTCCGCTGCTTCTCATGTACAACATCGGCCATCAAATTGATTGCCCAATCTAGGAGAGCGGCCTGTGTCGGCGGGAGAAGTTTCATAAGGCGAGCACAGTCTTCTTCTGATTGGCACTGCATTAAGACCTCAGGTTCGAGATAATCGAGCACTCCGGATGGAAGTTCTCTGAACCAGGCCTATAGAAGTAAAAGAGAATAGAAAAAGAGTTGAATCCTTTATCTGAATAAAAGATAACAAAAGCTAGGCATATAAAAGCTATGAAAAATTAGCTTATAGAAGCAACACGAATATGGCCTATAGAATCATCCTCCTAGCCTTATTTGAATTATTTGGGTCAGCTTTATGAATCTTTAGCCTCCATACATCCCTGCTTACAGTTGCATTAAGTGTTAAACCTACTTTGCGCATTATCTTTTTGAATATTTTATCTAATTCTCCCTCAATTTATCTATTTTCTTTATAATCCTCCAACATCAGTGTTAACATTCTGCTTTAACGATGCATCTATGGATGATAACATGCAATCTTTACAACAACAACAACCACAAAAACAACAACAAACTTTTATCCCACTAAGTGAGGTCAACTACATGAATACTTTTCTCCATTGTGTCATATTGAGTGTCATATATTCATTTAATTCTAATAAATAAAGATCATTTTGTATAAAACTTGCCCAAGTTTTTTTTAGGTCCATCTCTACCTTTCTTAACATAAATAAAATCTAAAACATATACTCTCCTAAAAAAGTCATTAGATGGTCGATGTTTAATATTACCAAACCATCTAATGCAACTCTTTCTAATCTTGTTTGTCACTAGAGCTACTTCAACACTTTCACAGATATATTCGTTTCGCATTTTGTCTCTAAGTGTAAAGCCACTCATCCACTAGAGCATTCTCATCGAGCATTCTCACTAGAGCATTCTCATCTCAACAATACTTTACTTAATTTTATGCTTCTCTTTTACAGGCCAACATTGTGCGCCATAAAGCATTGCAGGTCTTACCACCATTTATAAAAATTTCCTTCAAGCCCAAGCGATAATTTTTTATCGTACAATAGGCCCGCTGCATTCCTTCACTTCAACCATCTAACTTGAATTCTACTAATTCATTCCCATCAATATCACCATCACTTTGAAAAATAGACCCAAGATATCTAAAATGTTTACTCTTTTTAATGACTTGATCCCCAATTGTTATAACCCATTCATTGTAACTTGCAATAATGATAATGCTTAATTTATCCTTCCTAGTGCAACACATTCATTTTAATATTTTCATAGCTATCACCGCTCAATTTATGTATATTTAACATCTTAGCCCAACACTCAAATTCATACAACATAATTGACTTGTATACACAAGAAAAGTAATTAAGGTCATATGTTCCACATAGGCAAAAACACCTTCATAATGAATCCCCATTAAATGAGAAAGGCTTATAACACATTTGAAAAGTTTTAAATCTCATATTTTATTCAGATATAGAGAACAGAGATTGAGCAACACTGGATGATGTGGTTACCTTGATTAAGCCTGCAAGGCAGTGCACATCAATGCCATCCTGGATAATTCCATTATTTAGCTGGTCTCTAACAAGCTCCTCTTGACTATTCTCCGCTGCAATTCTGAATATTCCTTCTACCTGCAAATTGATGAAATTTGTAAATATTTGAATTCAACTATATGGCTTGGTTTAATGTGAATAATACCCGAAGCCCGCCTTGTTGATAAAGGCGCCTTTGCATGAGCAAGAGTATTGTTGGGACACTATTGCCTCTGTGATCCAACGAGCATTGCATAGACTCTGCTGAAACTCCAAACACATTTGCACTACAAAAATGAAGGAAAGGAACTCAATTGATAATCAAATAAAACAATGATTTTTCAGCAATACAAACGTTGTAATTCAATATGCAAAGATATGTCCTCAGTAGTAGAACAAGGAGGTGGCTGGGGAAGGCACTCGCCACCTCTAAATTTTTACTAAACTCTTTGATAACATAAAATAGACTGAAAAATTTGTCCCTTAAACTTAAATACTTAATAATAATTTACTTTTAAATGTATTTTAAGTTTAATAATAATAATATTTATACCAGTTTTAAATTTTTTTAAGGAGATGAAAGTTTTGAACTTATATACTCGCTATACCTTAAATTTTGATTTTGTATCAACTAGAGCACAATTTAAATTTTGCATCAGGCTTCGGAGAAGAATATGATAAATAAGAGTGATGATTACAATGCAAAATCAAAGCCGATTGGGAGGGAAGATTCTCAAAATATAAATATATTTAGTTTAGAAAACAGAATGGTAGCAAGTTCAAATACTGATAAGAAGTAGTATCCAACATTAAATTAAGCGATTTGGCTTGAATATGTTTCACCTCCTGATTTATTTGATCGAATTTCTTTTATGTAAGAAAGAGTCAGGGAGATTCATATTGTTAAAAAATAGACAAATCCTATGCAAAAACAAAGAGGCAAAAAATAGAAATCAAGGAAAAGAAGATCATCCCACAAAAACACACAAGCGTTTTATGTAAATTCACCAAATTTGTGCTATGTTCTGTTGCAACTATTGTAGATATCACTAAGGTTGATTATAGAGAATTGCAACTTTAAATTATTATATATACATATAGGGCAGCCAAATGAATATAATAAAATTCTCTAAACGCCTATATAAAATAACCATAAATATTTGATGCATTTTAAGGGCACTGCCCCCAAACCATCAAAGAAAACGTTCCCCTCCCTCCTTTCAATCTCTACGGTAATCTTAACGTAAAAGTCAACCCTCAACTAATGCTTGTGTAGCATATTTTCTTCGTAGAGGAAAAAAAAAATTATTCTCCACAACATAACAAATATAGGGCTGACAATTACTACATATTAACCCCTTTAAAGTCAAGTAGGATGAAAGAAAAGAAAATACAACATCATCAAACAATAAGAGAGAAATTATGGGGTTGTTTGGTAGCATCTTTTAATAGGATATATCATAGGATTTAGTAACTCCAACCAAATGTAAAAATGCACGAGTTCCGTGGATTTATGAATTTTCGGATTTAGGCCCAAATTTTGCCTTATATTCTATCATATCCAGATTTACTAAATCCATGGGTAGGCTAGATTTAACGGATTAACGAATTACAAACTTACTAAATCCTACTAAAGCTAAATCATACTTATAGCCAAACACCCCCACAAGATTACAACAACATGCTCTTCATGATAAAATCTTGCCCCGCAAGCCAAGGACTAATTTGATTACTTGAAGTTAAAATACAAATTCTAAAAATAACAAAATTTACTAGATCGATCATTTATAAAGATGTAGCTGAAAATTAACTTTAGTTTTTGAACTCCACATATCCCTTAAAAACCCTCAAATATAAGGATTCAAGTTCCAAACCAAAAAAAGACAAAAAAAAAATCTAAAAGAAACTTGATATTTACAAATAACCAAATAAACCCCATCAGAAAAAGAAAGCCCTCACCATTCTTTATAGCAACACAAGCAAATAATCTAAGCATGATTCACTCACATATGCATAAACTAAAGAGCCCGAAAGGTTAGATACATCACAGTCCACCTAATATACCCTCAGAAAAACTAAAACATAAACATACAACTTCCTGTAAAAGGTGTATTTCACTGTTTAAAAGCTAAAACGGAGGTATTGATATGAAAGATTTGGGCGATATAAATGCAAAAGGTAAAATTAAGGTGTTAGATATGCAAATATGTATAGGAATTAAGTTGCATGCATGCAAAAAAAAAGCATTTGATATCATAACTGCTTATACCTTGTATGTTAATGTTGATGTTCAATTAATTAAACCAGGACTCCAAACAATCACCAAAATTTCAAAGTGAAACACTCAAATGTTTCTTATTAGCTCTAAATCCACAACTCTATATATTGTTGAGTTGGAATCATAAAAATGTCACAAAATATGGTTCAAACTTCTAATAACACCACTCACATTGCTTGATAAACATGATTCCATACAAAAGAACAAAAGAAAAAAACAAATACTACAAATGCTAGAAATCATAAGAAGACCTGAATGATAAAAAATCCCTAGCTATGCTTCTCTTTCACCAAATCTGATACCTTTACAAACCAAGCAAAACAACAGACTCAACAATGCAAGATACATAAACAAGAAAAAAAAAACGTTAAAATGAAAATTTCTAGGCTCCCAGATCTGCAAAACTTGTCCACAAAAGTTTCTAAAAGAGTACCACAAACATGAAATCTGTAAATTTAATAAAAGAACAAGAGATTTTACGAAGAAACAAAACCTAGCGCTCGGCGCTCGTTGGGGCACCTCTGGTTCAAACTCAACCGGCAATCCAAGAAATCCATGAAAGCGATCGAAAGTAACATGAGCGACATGGCGCACATCAGTTGGGTATCCAATCTCCATCGAAGAAACACCAACTTCTTTCAAGGACATGCAACTAACCAGGTATTTCCTCAAAACCGCGAGTAAAATAGCCAAAAAGGAGAGCTCTTCCTCTTCTTCCTCCTCGAAAACCCCATGGGAACTCATGGGGCTTAAAAGGGCTGGCTCGCCTCTGGACCCATCGATGTTTGTGGGGTTTCGAAGAAGCGGAGGAAGCACGGCTGCCATAGCTGGCAGTGGAGAACTATTATGAGAAGAGAGAGGGAGGAGTGTAGCGGAAAATATCAGGAAAGATGGGATTTTTATGATGGGGTTTTGAGTTGGCTGTGGGGGAATTTGGAAGATTGAGTTGGCTTGAAGGGTTTGTGTTGGTGGGGCGAGGGAATCATGGAACTTCTCCTCCCTGTTTTCCCCTGCCTGCCAAACAAGAAAAAAAGGACGCAAGGAGATTTGAGATGACGATCATCTAAAAGTGGCAATTTTTATAAAAATAGTCGATTTTTCGACCATTCAAACCACGAGGAGCAATGCATAATAGATAAATGGTAGTTGCTTAAGAACGTAAAATTTCCTTCTCTTTGTCAATGAACTAAAAAAAAGGAGGAATAATATTTTCTATAATCAAATAACAAAGTACATGCTAACAAAATTATATGGCAATTTAATGACTCTACTGAAGCTCACACCCTCCATTATTTCTCTATAAATAGAGGAGGGGAGGGACATGCATTTAGTCAATTCTTATTATACATCTTTTCTTCGCTTGCTATAAAAATCGAGCATCTCAAAGGAAGAAGTCTTTATTCTCAAAGGTGAAATTTTGACAGGATTGTTTGTGATGTGAAAAAAGAGAAGTAATTCTGAAAGAAAGAAGACAAAGACTAATCTTGCTACAAAAAAGATCATGGGTTCCCGGGAGAGGGTTCCTTCTCTAACTCGTGTTGCTGATCTCCAATCCCATTTGGAGTTTCGTTGGTAAATGGTAAAGGAGTCCATGCCATCAAAAGAAAATTTAGTTTTAGATCCTGCTTCAAACGAGTTGGTCTGATTATTCTTGTTCAACTTGAGCCAGTATTAGAGGATATAAGAAAATTAAGTTCATAAAGTTAAATTTGGTAAGGAATCTAATGACTTTAAATTGGTTTTATAGTTTAATTCACATTTGGTGAACTCATAAGTGAAGATTGCATTATTGACCATAATTTTTGAATTGGTAAGTGAACAGATTGAACTTGAATATTTGAGGCATTTTACTACTTGAGGGTGTTCTTCTTCAATTGATGTAAAGCCCAAACAACCTATCCCTAATGAAGTCACTCTTTGTTTGACTAAAGAGGATACTCCTGGAACCTTGAGCAAGAACCCTCATGTTATAATAGGTCGTCTCTGACTGTGACCTCCATATTTCACAAGCTACTGTAGATGCCAAGGATGTGAGGAGAATTGAAGAGTTACTCTCATGAACGAGAATTCTTTTAAATACATATGAAGCAAATCTCTTATAATAATTGTTCGCATAGAAGGGGGTGAAAAGACCAAGTTGAGGAATGTCTACGTGGAGTTGAAGAGAGACATGTTCAATATAAATGATAGGCTCCTGACATTTTAATGATATTTGAAGTCCACTTATTTTGACCAATTGATGGCCGCCAACGAGTTCATATTAATGTGTCTAATATAGACCGTCAATTTTTTGTTGAGACCACTTCAGAAATGTGATGTTGTCTTACTATTAGATACACCACTAATCATATGAGCAATACAATTTTTAGGTTATATAAATATTTAAATTTAGCTTTAAATATGAATTTATCCTTAAGCCTTTTTTTCACACAAGAAAGCTTTATTAAACATATGCAAAATTTCTTTTCTAGCATATTATAAATTATTTGAAAGTTTAGCATGATTATGAAGTTAGATTTGCATGAACGTTTATTTATGTATATTATATCTTTTCAAACCAATTAATACTTAATTGATTTTAATAAAATCTCATAGAGTTTGTCATACTTTAATTTCTAATTTACCTCTTGAGATGGATTATCAACTATAATTAAAGACATGTTTGCTTCCTCTTAACTAGATTATTTTATTGATGCTTCCTTGCTATTTGAAGCTACCCATGTCACTTGTAGTGGTTGGTAGGGTTGTTAACGAGACAATTTCGAATTAAGCAAGGGCTCAGCTCGATTCAAAATCAGATCTAGTGGATTGAAGTCGAATCGAGATCGACTAGTGGCTCGTTATGTTCAATTTCAAGCCAACTAGACTCAAAATTGAATCGAGTTCGATCCGGCTCGAAATCAGAATGAGTTGACTCAAATTTGAGTTATTTGAATTTGTTCCAGCTTGAAATCAGCTCGAAATCTTAACAACATGGCTCAGATCCATTCCAGCTCTAAATCGACTCATGACTCGTTATATTAAATTTTATTTATCATTATAAATAATTTTTATAAATTAAAAATACATCGAACTGATTTTGAGCGAGCGAGCGAGCCAACTAGTATATGGCTCAATATCATCTCAAAAAAATTCAATTTAAAATTTTGACTCATAGCTCAGCTCATATATTCCTATCTGAACTCCATACGAGAATTTCGGGTGATAACAACCTTCGAGCTAAATTCCCGGCCCTAATAGTTGGGCTTATTATATCTAAAGCACATTGTCATTTCTTTCATTTCACCTACATAATTAATTTATAATTTATTTTGAATTTGTGAGCAAGATTTTTACCATTATTTTTTTATTAAATTAATCTATTTAAAACAATTGTGGCAAGAATGTGATTGTTCATCTCATTTTTTAACATGGTGCAATTATTCATCTAAAGGGGGTCTCATTTGTAAAAGTTGTGATAAAATAACTTGTACGGATAGACATAGGGCAGCCGAGTCTGAGCGAGCCCAGGCCCGACTCGTGTTCGGCTCGCTCGAATCTGGCTCGTGTTTGAAATCGGCTTGTGTTCGGAATGACTCATGAACAGTGGGGTTGGGGTCGGCCCGGATTTCGTTTTCATGTTTGGG